ATAGGGGGTATCTGAACATGAATGAAGTGTGGGTTCATAATTTGACGGATTTGAAATTAAATATTAAATTGAATTTTAATTAGGTTTGGGGTTTCTTTAATTATTTATTAATTTTGAGCGGGTGACGTCCGCTTGTAGTTAGGCTTTATTTGGAGGGTAATTTCGGGGTTGTTTCGGGATTTGGAATTGTTCACTTTCTGGATAAATTAGTACTTTTGTACTGTAAGATTTGGCAATTTCCACGTACTTCACGAATAAGGATAGGACAGTCTTTTCACTGTTTCTCCAAATCATAATTATTAATTGGTAATCCTTGTTAAGAGTAAAAACATGTTTCCACCCAAGTTTGGCGATATGACAAGTTTCTACCACTGGTTTCAAAAATTTCAGATTTCCACCCTTAAATTAACAAAAAATCATTCAACATAATTGCCAAAGAGTGAAGTGGTCATTTTTACTACATTAAGACTAGTGGGAGGCTGGCTGGGGCAATTTCACAAACACCTAGTGTGCACAAATGAGAAGGAAAGTGGTAAGTCATTGATAATAGGAAAATCGGCCCGAAAAGACACCCAAACAACACATAAACACTCCCAAACAATCAATCACTCCAAAAAAACTAACAATTCACCCAATCAACTAAAAAAAAAAAAAAAAAAGACTCGAATTTCAACTCAAACTCACAAAATCGTGTAAGAAGCCCTAGAAGAGGTCGTTGGCGATTAGGAAATTAACTCGGTCAAGAATGTTAAGGCTTTTAAAGAGGAGAGATAGGTGAATCTATGGGTGGTGAGAGATTAGATTTTGGTGGTCGGGTTTGGTCAGAAATGGAGGGATGGTTTTGCAAGCCACAAATCGATAGAAAACCGATGATTGACATTGTCGGCTGGAGTGGGGTAAGAGAGGTTTTGGTGTGTGAGGCACGATGAAGAGAATGGTGGTAGTGAAGAAAGCTGCTATTGTCAAAAAACAACGTAAAAAATAGGTGACGACGTTTGCTAATGTGCGCCGCATCCTGCTAAAATGTGTCGTCTATTAATTTGAGGGTTAAAAAGGTAATTTATTAATTTGGTGGCTAAAAATCGCTAATAATGTTGATTTAAGGGTGAGAATGTCAAACTTATGAGATCAGGGGTGCAAATTGTTATTTCGACAAAACGCTCTTGTTAAATGTAACGTATTTATGTTTACCTCAGCATTAATGACAATAATACATCATTGTTCAATTAAACAAGAAAATCTTTTAAATAATGATTTGACCAATTGATCCTCGGTTACCTAAACATTTTTTTAATTAAAATAAAGTGTTTCTTGTAGAGAATGATGCATGTGTCTTATTCAATTTTATAAACAAATATTTAATTGAAAGAATAAAAAAGTATATGAGAAATGAAAATTTCATCTAGAAACACAGCAAAGATTGATGCTATTTCACACGCTCAATCTTGGTGGACCAATTATTAATTTTTTTTTTTTAATAAAAATTGGACTATTGTAGCCTTCCAGCCGACTATATAGTATATACCATTTTTAGATTCTTTCAGATTTAATCCTCTAAATTCAATTCAAATGCTTACATTATATTGTTGTATTTAAAGGTCACGTTTAGCACATTGATTAATTGATTTAATATAAGATATGATATGTGAATGAAGTTGAATTGAATTAAATTTTTGACAGAATCATTTCAAGGATGGTGTCAATAAATTAAAGAGAAATAAATAAAGCTATTTTAATGGTAATTATTAATTAATGAAGAATTGAAGACTCATTCATTCATGTTCGTTGATGCAACTTACAATTAAAAAAAAATAAAAATAAAAAGGCCCTCAACTTGATTATTGTCAAAGCTTGTCTAATTTTGACTTGAAAAAACCTAGACGTCCGCCGGAGCAACCCAAAAAAAAAAATATAAAAATAGTTCTTTTGCAATCTAAATCAATGCTTTATTGCAAATAGCCTAACTAAGTAATTGGGCGGCCTAAATTTTTAGAAACCATATGGAGTAACATGTTAGAATCTTCTCGGTTTCCATTATTGTATAGTTTTGACTATGAATTAGGAAGCTTGAAGAACAAAAAGCATGGATTTTGGTGAAGCAGAAAACAAGTATAGATAAAATTGAATTTATATATATATATCAGTTTGTATGTATCTCAACTAATTCGGATGACCTAAGATGTTCAGGTCAGCTTATGTGTACCTTATCTAATCCCACAAAACCTTGAACTACTGATTGAGTAAGAATTCGAGTGAATACCTTTAACCCGAGAGACAATGTTAAATTTTTTTTTTTTTTTTGCTCTTTTACCATCCAGAGGACTCGAATATGAGAGATCATGTTAGATTTTCTTTTGCTCTTTTACTATCAGGCTACCCAATATTTATTATAAAATAATTTGAAGGACAAATAGTATGATTGGTCTTGTTCTATTTTTGGTGAAAGTAAAATTATAATGCCTTAGTTTAGTTTAATAGTAATAATAAGGTGATACTTTGTTCTCAAGACCACTCAACAAAAAGGGTAAGGTAGCCATTTCACTTTCAATGACTTTCTTCTTCAATAAGTAAGAGTTAGAGATCTCCTTTCTCCATGAAAATACTTGAGCATATTTTATGGTGCCAACGCATTACCCATGTGAGACTTTTGTTATTTACAAGTATCCAATCAATCTCCTTTCCTTATACACCTAGCAAATCTATAAAATAAATAAATCCTTTCTAAAACCTTACTACAACAGCCAAAGCCAGCTCATACTAATTCATGCCATTGATGATTTCTCCAACTCTCGACCAAGAAATACCCTTATGAAAAAGGAAAAAAATAAATAAAATAAAACCCTAGTCCTTGATTATTAGATACATAGCATGAATGAAGGTGGGGTGATAAAATCAAGAAAAAAAAAATGGACCAATTGGAGTGAATAATAATATAATAAGAGATGGGATGTTATTGTTACAAGCTTGAAGAGCAAGTATTTTAGGCCTGATTTTCCATCTTTGAATAAGGATAGATAAATGGGTCCTTGAGAAAGATGAGATTTTAATTAGTCAAATATTTATTGTGGGGATGTTGATGGCCTAATATCTAGAAGGGGGGGAAAAAAAAGTTAACCATTGGATATTGAAAGTTGGAAATATGTTAAACTTATTGATTAGGGAAACATAATTACAAAAAATGTCAAAAACTTATTGAAAGTTGAAAAATAAAAGTTTGATTATATCGATAATTACAAAAATAAAAAAAGTTATTTGTAAGAAGCGTAAAAGTGGAGGATGTTATTATAATAAGCTTTGAGATAAGAACATGAATTGGAATATGATCTATGATCTCAAACAATATATCTGATCATTACAAGGAAAATTGATAAAAACAATAGATTTGATCATGAGAAGGAAATAAAAATTGTTAGATATAAGAGATCTCAATGAACTGAAGTGAAAGACAAAAACAATAATTTTTTTAATACAAAAATGAGAATTTTGCTAAGTACACCCACCTTTTAACTAAGTACACTTTTTTTTTTATCATATTTTAGAGTCAATGACTTTTTTCCACCCAAAAAATGGCTCATTGACACTTTGTCACCCCCAAACTTTTAAAATATCCTTTTATTACACAGATATTATGCTTTCCTCTGGTTTGGGTGGGAAATACAGTGATTTACGAAAGAAAAAAAAAACCCCTCTTTTTTCTTCTCTTCTTAGCCTCTTTCATTGCCAGCAATTTTCGCTAGTGTTAGGAGTATTGGCAACTAGAAAATCAACAAACAAATCACAAATACTATAAATAAACATTCATCAATCGTCTTTCAACCCCCAAAACACAAAAACTAAACAAAGAAAAACCCTAGCGTGAGGAAGCTTCAATTGCCAACGATTAGTGAGCAAATGAGATTCGGACTGTTAGGGATTTTGGAGAGGAAGATCCAAAGAATCGATTGGCGGAGGCACGGATGATTTCTGACATCGGAAACGACCAAAAATCGACTTGGAAGTTGAAAGGTCGTGCACCGAATGACGAGCAAGGGACTGTGATGAAGGTAAGGGTTTTGTAAAGTGGGTTGTGGGGAGTGTGATGGTGGTGTCTGGGGAATTTCTGACAAAGAAATCAACTAGAATTCTAGCTTGAAGAGTCAGTCGTGCGAATGGAGGTGGTGGTAAGAAATGGTGAGTGATGACGGCAAATGGAGGCTTGGACTTTGTAGAGGAGGTGATGGGGATTCAATGAGTGGTCTTAGAAGTGATTTTGAAAGCCGGGATTGGCTAAAAAATGGCAAAAATCGTCGGCCATCTCTTGTTAACATGCACTGTCCTTTTTTTCTTTTCTTCTTCTCCAACGGCCAAATGTTTGTTGACCATTCTACCCTCACTGATAATGGATTTTTTACTATTTTATCCTTCCTCACAATAAAAATTACTAATAAAATTGTACTTTGGGTACTAAAAAGGTATTTAAAAAGTGAACGGTGTATGAATTAATCAAAGGGCCATTTTTTAGGTTTATTATAAATTTACCCTTTAAAGGGGGCAACTGAAAAAATAAGTGGGGTTTAAAAGTCACTGCCCTATCAATCATGTTTATGTTTGGTTTTGGGCCTTTGTGTCAATGATCAAAAGCAAAAGCCCATGAGGCCTTAAAAAAGGAGAAAAGAGTTGTTCTGGATGGGCTAGAATGTATGAGAAGTCAACTATATTCTGTTTGTGCCCATTTCTTTTGCAATTGACCAATTATAAATTACAGAAATAGTATGCTTACTCACGAATTTTACTAACCGTCTTACTATTTTTGTTAAAATTATACATAGTATTCGTATTATGCGTATGATACCCGTACTATGTGTTATATTTACAAAGGATAGTAAGATAGTTAGTAAGATGGCGAGTAAGCATAGCATTACTCCGTAAATTAAGATGGCTTCTGACTTTCGAGTTAGGTAACAAAATCAGTATAGAATCCACTTTCCACTTATTCAAAGAAGCTTCGCAATTTGAAAAAATTAAAAATATGGAATTTTGATGACATTATTTCCATTGAATTGTCTTACTAATGCAAAGCATTTGTAACACTATACATGTTTCCATACATGAATATGAACATAGATTAATTCTAGAATTCCTGAAAAAAAAAACTATTTCTGTGTAGTCTCTGCTGTTGCAATGTTGATAATGTATTCAATTTCTTCAGCTACTTCTTTCATGGAAGGCCTATTTTGTCTTCGTTCTTCCAAGCAACCCACTGCCAAGAATGCCAATGCCTTCATTGTCTCCAACTCTATATTGCTTGCTTTCTCTCTTAACACAGGATCAATTGTCTCCATTAATTTCTCTTCCTCCAACATTCTCTGCACATAAACTGCCAGGTTCACTTCATCTTCAGCCCTGGTAAAATCTATAGCTTTTTGAGCCGTCAGGAGTTCTAATAACACAACCCCAAAACTATAAACATCACTCTTATCAGTTAACTGATAATTCTTGTAATACTCAGGGTCAAGATACCCAAGAGTCCCTTGAGCACATGTAGAAATGTGACTCATATCAGTGTGAGCTAATCTCGACAGCCCGAAATCCGCAACCTTTGCAGTCAACTTCTCATCAAGAAGAATGTTGCTAGACTTCACATCACGGTGATAGATTGGAGGAATTGCTGAAAAATGAAGGTATGCAAGACCCTCAGCAGTGTCATGAGCAATCTGCAGACGCCGCATCCAAGTAAGTTGGCCATGGCCTCCAGGTTTAATCTTGCCTTGTAAATGCTCAAGAAGAGCTCCATTTGGAACGTACTCGTAAACCATGATTGGCTGCTCTAGCTCAATGCAACAACCGAGCAATCCCACAAGGCTTCTATGGTTAACCTGGCATAAAATTCTGACCTCATTGAGGACTTGATCAGTGCCCTTAATGTTTCCGACCTTAGCGCATTTGACAGCAACTTCAGTTCCATCTTTAAGAATGCCTTTATAGACTTCACCGTAGCCGCCGGCTCCTAAGACGCGGTCTTTGGAGAAGTTGTTTGTAGCTTTCTTTATTTCTTTGCCAGAGAAGATCTTTGCCGCTTTGCCTCCACTGCCTGAGTTAAGGATCTCTTCTCGCTCTCTGGCCAGGCGTTCTTGTGCTTCCTTGATCCGTTTGTGGCGTTTGTACAGTAAAAATGCTATGGCGGCAACAATGAGTGATACACCAATTCCACAAGTTAAACCTGCACATAATCAGAGCGGAATTTTGAATAAAATTTGGCTACATTTTGACAAAAGATAAAAAAAACCTAAAATATAAAATATTTATTAAAATCTCTCACTGCTCCGAGAGAAACAAAGCTCATCAGCCAAGAAAATTAAAGAAAGATAAAAGAAAAATCGTACATGATTAGATAATTATTAGACCAAATCACTATATAAATGCCACAAGAATATATATATATAACGTAATGTACCTGCTATGAGCGCAGTTCTACTTGTTCCTCCACAACCTTTAGGATCTTGACACGTAATAACTGCACAAAATAAACGCAAAATTAGCCAATCAAAATCAACCAATCTCTTAAACAACCATATGATTAAAAGATAATCACAATTCACAAACTCACTTTTAGTACAAATGCCTTGAATTGGATCCCACGTAAGCCCTGCCGTACAGAAGCATCTCCTGATCCCACTGACGCGTGGATCAGCCCCACAGGTGGAGTTCCCATCACAGTCAGCTTGGGACCCACACATAGGCTCTCTCGGCGAAACCCATTGGATCTCCACACCCGGTTCGGACCACCGATTCACGGGCTGATTGGAGTCCAAGTTCACGAAACTCGTGTAGGCCCTACACCCGGCCTCCCTCAGTCTAATCATATATGACGTCGTTGACCCACCGGCTCTAAACGTACAACACAGCGAAGCCGACGCCTCATCACACGCAGAAGCGTCGCGCGTGGCGTTGACATACACGTGGCACAAGCTGGCAGAAGAACAGTTCAACGGTGAGCCGAGTAAAGTGTTGGAACAGTTCAAGTACATGATGGTGTTACTACTGGTAATGTTGAAGGGCAAGCTCGCGTTGAGTTGGATGCCTTGATGAGGAAGATCAGTTGCGAGGCACGTGTTGGGTAAGAGACTCGCGGGTTTGATCACCAGCCGTTGGATTGACGGGCTGATGGAGGTGATCGGGTAGGAATTATTTAGGGTGTCAAACTGAAGAGTGTTGTTAGAGTCGCAGCGGACTTTGTAGGACTGGTCACCGCATGCGGGGCCCGTGCTGAGTGGATAGGGAACTCGGGTGGTGCCGCAGTTGGGACAGCGGGTGGCGGAGAATGAGGTGGCGGCTGATGACAGCAGCGCCGCAGTGAAGAGAAGGAGCTTGGTTGGTAAAGACATCGTGAGAGAGAAAAGACAAAAGTCGTGTGCGGAAATGAGGAGGGTTTTGTGGTGGTTTTATTGACGGAGTTTAGTCAAAGTTGGTGATACAGGTAATAAGTTTAAGGGGGGTTTGACTTTGAACAATACTTTGGGTACTAATGGATGGGTACTAATCTGTGTACTAACTAAAGCATAGTACCCGTACTATGCGCATAATACAGGTACTATGCTTTAGTTAGTACACAGATTAGTACACATCCATTAGTACCCATAGCATCACTCTTTGACTTTTGGGAGATATTCAAAGATTTGGACAGTTGGATTGTCGTATTATTAAATCAATATTGTCGTTTCTGGTAATAATCTTGAGCTTTATAATGGAAGTCTCACATAAATTCTCTAGTAAAAAACCAGCTGTTACGAAAGGTGATAAAACGATTCCATGAGCCGTTGATTAGATAAAAAAATTAGCAATGAGGGCCTAAAGTCTTCCAAATTTTGTCAATGACTTTAAAGTTTTGTATAAAGATTATATTACCCCATTTTAGAGCCGAAGACTTGGAAGTATAAAGGCACTGAGCCCACAGATAACATTATAATTAAATGCGTTGATGTTTATCTATGAAGATTTTGTGTGTATTAGTTGACTAAGGAGGATTTCCATATTTTCGGCTACTTTTTTCTTTCATTTTTTTCTTCTTTTTATGTCTTTGATTCTCTCAAACAAGCAATGTGATTATGCAGCAACCAAAAGATGATCGTGGTTTCGACTTTTGACAACAATTACAGAGGGATTTGACTTCGCGAGCCTTTTCATTAACAAATTGCTCTCGAAATGGTGTTGAATAAGTTGAAATATGCAAATATTATTATATTAATTTGATGAAATAAAGAAACCCCTCATCTCAAGTTGACACTTGACAGTGGTTGAGATAATAACATATCTAAATTTCGATTTATATATTACAACCAAAGGATATTCCACGGCTGCCAATTCATGGAATGACAGATCATAATATGGAGGGGAGACTTTGACTACAAAGTATACAATATACGTATTAAAGGGATTGTACCTATTTCCCTAGATGATTAGGAACTAAAGTCAGCTTTGAATTAATAATATTCAACTATGGGTTTGCTATTCTCTGGTCAACGACCACTTTGGAGTTAAAGACTTTTATCAAGTTATCTCAACCATAATTCATTGACCCCAGCTGATGAATTTATGAAACATATTCACAACTCCCATCATAAACTATAAATGCCCTTTTCTCAATAACTCTTCAGATATTATCAATTTTTTTTTTTTTTTTTTAATCATCTGGTCCCTTGAGCAACTGAATTCGAGTGATTGGACTCAAACAACTGGATTTTCTCTTGCTTATACTTTATAGTTTGGGTGATGCTATGGGTACTAATGGATGAGTACTAATATGTGTACTAACTAAATTATAGTACCTGTACTATGCGCATAGTACGGGTACTATGCTTTAGTTAGTACACATATTAGTACTTATCCATTAGTACCCAAAGTATTATTCTTATAGTTTATAGTTTATGTTTGTAGTTCATTGAACAATTTCAGATAAAATTTTAAATTGCTATCTTTATAGTTTATAGTTCAATGAAATGAAGGATTGAATTATTTGGTTTTAAATTTTAATAAGAAAATATTAAAATTCGGATAAAATTCGGATATCCGATTATCCGATCCGAATAATCGGATATCCGGATATCCACATAATTCGGATCGGATTCGGATCAACAAATAACTTGATCCGAAAATTCAGATCGGATCAAAAAATGCCCTATTAGGATCGGATATCCGGATTTGCACAGCCCTAACATATGGTACCCTTCATACAATAAAGAAAAATACTATGCTTACTCACGACTTGTTACCTGTACTATGCGTATAGTACCAGTACTATGCCTTATATTTACAAAGGATAGTAAGATGCTGAGTAAGTATAGTATGGTTGTATAATAAAACTATGTTTTTCATAACTCGGCATAGTACGGGTACTATACGTATGGTACCTGTACTATGAAAATGTATTTTTAAATATTTGATTGACTTTTTTGCGCCGCTTATGTCATACGTTATATTTCGAAGAAAAACACTATGCTTACTCACGACTTGTATTAACTTCCTTACAACCTTTGTTAAAATTTTACATGGTACCCGTACTATGCGTATAGTAAGATGGTTAGTAAGATGGTGAGTAAGTATAGTATGGTTCTATTTCCAAAGTAAATTGGATGCCGTTGGAAGTGTTCAGATCAGTTTATACGTATCTCAATTAATTCATAAGATTCATTAAATACCATACAAACCTAATATTCCAGGTAAACAATAAATTAAAATTGTGATAGATAACTCTAAGATTCAAACTCAAGAAATCAATGAATATAACAAACCGTAATAGACTCAGTTTACTTAATTAGTGCTCAGATATACAACAATCCCACCATAACTTTACCTAAACGACTAGTTGTATCAAACTGATCAACTGCACTGCAAATGACATAACCCATAATGTTTTTTTAACTACCATAACTTCTACTCTTAGAGCTCGATAAAGAGACTATCGCAGCCTGCATATGTAAGTAAAAATTGATACTTGTATGGAACTAGTCAAGACTTAAGAAGAGTCTTGTAGTTTGGATCCTGACGAAAAGTTTCGGGCCAGAGAAATGCACCCATTGCAAACTGTCTCTTGTAAGCCAAATCTCCATGTGTAGACAACCCATATTCAGAAAGGATCCTGTCAAGCTTCCACTCGGGCATGTCCTGGTAGTCCTTCTTGGTGTACCTAGGGTAATGAAGAGGCATTTTGAAGCTACTTGTACCACTGTTTTTCTTGCTTTCCATCACAGTTTAATGGAGGTTGGTGCTTTCTTTGCTGTGAAAATAGTTGCTTTCTGGCAGCAGTGACTTTTATATATGTGAACTCATTTAACATATATACCTCAAGGCATGGAGGCTCTATACGCATGATGGTAGATGTCACAAGAATTTGTTGTTGCACCTTCTCGATCATTTGCTGTTTGTGTGAACAGTAAGTATGAGAAGTTTCTTATGTGCATTTCCAGAATATTCTTTTTAAAACAAAATTAAAAAATTATCAAGTGCTTTAAAGTTCCCACGGTTGGACTCTTGAATTACAAAACATCCACCACTCGATCATTTGGGCCATATGGATATGGTCTCTAATTCAAAACAGTAACCGACCTGAAAATCAACCACTAAATCAAGGGCCCATTTTCGTACGATCAATCATCGACCAGGGCCTCATCGTCATCACCCGATTTGCTTACTAAACTATGACCAAGTGAACCCATTTTATGGTTTGAAGGAAGCAACCTCGTATTAGTTTGTAACAGTGAAATTCACTCTGTTTCAAGGTTTATGAAACCAACCAAATATGACGGTTCCTAAGGAGTGAGGGCTAAGGTATAGGCCTAACAAGTGGTTTTACGGATTTGTACCCGATAGACCACTTAAATAAGGGTGAAATTGGAAATTTACGATTTATGTGTTATTTATTTCTTTTGTGAAAAATGTTATCCTTACAAATACCCATACAAAGAGGGCTACAAAGTAACATCATCCAAAAGAAAAAACAAAGACGTTTTGAATTCGATTCACTTCGGCTGCTAATAAAGTTAGTTTATAAAAACTTATCTGATCGTTAACTTCAAAGTCTCAAGAGATTAGTTGAGATACACGGAAGCTAATTCAGACACCCGATAAAAAGGAAAAATAGTAGTAATTAATGAAAGTATTATATATAATTATGTATCCAAGTTCTGGATGGCATATCAATGAGGAATTTTCTTCTTTATGATACTGTTTGAGTATAAACTCTAGCAATATTATTAGCTCGACGTGGCAGCACTTACTGAATATAATTGACAGGTTTGATCAAGCAATATGTCCTCTTCAATGGAACATTTGAACGAACACTATTCGCGGAGTATTAAAATGACACTTAAGGGTGCATTTGGTTCAGGTAATATTGGATTGCTAGGAATGTTAGATTACTGGAATCTTATATTATCTTAAATATTACTGGAAATCTTTAGAAAAATGTGTTTGGTTAGTTGGTGGGTATGTTATATTAATATGTTTGGTTTGGGGGAATAAATTGATGGGTATGTTATTTAAATTACTAAATTACTCTCTTTTTAAATATTAATATAATATTATTTTTATTATTAATTTTTGAATGATTTTTTTAACTCCCAATATTTCAGATTTAGCTAAGACACCCCCGCTTATATAAAACTTTAATTTATAACAAAATCACCCCACCCCTGCCGCCCCTTACAGCCATTGCAAACCATCATTGGAAGTCTCTGAAAGTCGCTATGAGTAGCTCACTGTGACCACGACGCTTCGATATGGCCGTTTCTAGCCATATTGATGGTCGAAAACAACCATATCAGGCTAGATCTGACCGAAAATGGCCAAAATAGATCTGGCCATTTCCGGCCAGATCTGGCCTAATATGGCCGTTTTCGGCCATCAATATGGCCAGAAACGACCATATCAAAGCCTCCTAAAGCTTCCCAGCGAATCTTGGTCATTTTTAGGGACTCCGACTACTTTTAGGTGGTAGTTGGCCCGCTATCGATGGTGGTGGCCTGTAATTTGTTTTAAATATAAGGGCATTATTGTCCAAAAACTTAATTAAACAAGGGTAAAATTAAAATAGTATATTAATGTAAATTTATTTTAAAATAGGGGCATTATTGTCCAAAATTTTTATTAATAAAGGATAAAATTGTAACAAAAATAAAATTACCAAGGTAATCTTACGATACCTAAGAAAATGGAGGTAATCATTTTGGAATTTAATAATAAAATTGGAAGCAAAACAGCAGCATCAAACTAGTGAAAGAACAGTAATGAAATAGCAGAAGAACAGCAGGAAAATAGCAAGAGAATCGCAGTAAAAATAGTAGAGAGACAGCAGCAAAACAGCAAAAGAACAGCAGAAAAATAGTAAGAGGACAACAGAAAAATAATAGTAAGAACAGCAAGGAGACAACAGC